AATAATAATAATAATAATAATAATAATAATAATAATAATAATAATAAACTGCTTAGCCACTCGCATTTAATACTGAAATTTTGTGTTCTGAAAGTGTAGTGCTTGGATATTGCATTTGGATATTGTATTTGGGTGGGCCTGACCAGCACATGATAAAATGAAAATATTATTTCTTACGATTTGGAAACTATAATTCTATTTATGCAACCTAAAGCTGTAATTTTCATAGCTACTTTTAATTCATACTCCAATCTGTTGCTAATTATAATGGCAAGATGTTCTACACATCTTCAATTGCCTTCCTAATATCCTATACCTGTGCATTCTGGGTAACAGCTAACAGATCAATGTAAATCAGATCTGGTTCAAATTGAATTTAAAATTTCACATTAAAAATACAAATTCACTTTAAGGCTAAAAAAGCAATTTAATCTTTTTTCAAAATTTGAAAAATGAAAGTGTGGATATGTTCACAGTTACTACAGGGGTGTCAAACTCAAGGCCCGTGGGCCAGATGCAGCCTGTGAGGTGCTCAGATCTGGCCCATGGGGCCAGCCTGGAAACAGTGAAGGATCGGCCCATGGTGCCTCTTCCAACAAAAATGGAGCTCAGGAGGACCATGTGAAGCCCTCTCAAGCTCTGTTTTCATCTGCAACAGCCTCCTGCAACGCTCTAACAGTGAAAACAGGGCTCAGGACGGCGACGTGCATTCCTCCCAAGTTCTGTTTTTGCTGGCAGAGCATTGTAGGAGGCCATTGCAGCCAAAAATGGAACCTGGGGGAGCCAACATGAGTGCCATTGAGCTGGCCACACCCATCCCAGCCACACCCACTTGGCCCCCAAGGTCAAAAAGAACCCTGATGCAGCCCTCAATGAAATCGAGTTTGACACCACTGGTTTACTATAAAGTAACTGTATCAAAATACTAACATTGTGTTTTTTTGCAGCATATCATGAAAAAAAGGAGAAATGACATACCTTTTAAGAGATATTAAAAAAACAAGTTTCACCTAGAGAATTTTAAAGGTTTTAAATATTTTTTAAAAAAATATTATCCTGAAAACTCATTCAATATGGTTTTTAAGTTAGCTATGAGTTCAACTAATAGACATGCCATGCGGTCCATGCATCACAAGTTTGCTAACCAGCACATGATGGAGTACTTTATCAAATGTTTTGCTGAAGTCAAAATATATTATGCCCAGAGCTTTTCCATGAGAAAAAAAAAGATTATTCTGTCAAAACTTGTTTTTGACAAATTCATTGTGACTTATAGTAATTACTGCATTGTTTTCGTGGTAGTTATATATCAATCATTTTATGATCTGCTGTAAAATATTCCCAGATTAATTGTTCTGTATTTTCCCATATCCTCCTTCTTGTTTATTTTGATCATGCAGTCATTTGTCTTCCTCTAGTAACCTAATACTTTATACATTTTCTTTTTCTTTTCTCCCTTCTCCTTTCTTTCTCCTTTTTCCTTTCTCCCCTCTCCTCCCCTCCCCTCCCCTCTCCTCTCCTTTCCTTTCCTTTCCAATTCAGCTACACTTACAATTATGAATTAATTCAAGCCCAATAATTATTCCAAATTTTCTTACTATTCAGCTCCAGCTGGAATTCTGTACCCTTAAACATGTCTTACAGTTGTCTAGAGGAACACATATCCTCTTCTCAAAGAACAGTAAAATGAATTAAGTTTAGAATTATTTGTGTCTTTTGCTAATTACCATATTTTGTGAGCATCTGGTGTATTATTTCTTTTGTCACACTTTTATTTTAAACATAGCTGAACAAGCCCTCTATATTGTTCTGAGCATTCATCACTAAATGCTCATTCTTGGCTTTCACTTTCTTAAAAATGTTGCTGAAGACATAGACTATCTGTTTGTGAAACTTTTTGGTAAACTTTTCCACCGTCCAGCCTTGTTTGCTTTCCTTTTTATATTGTCTGAGGTTTTGGATTATTATTATTATTTTCATTTCTTCATTCTCTTTTTTTAATTTTGCTACATGGTTTTAGGAATTCATAGCCCTGTTGGATTGTTTCTACCATTAGACTTCCTTGTCATTAACTCCTACCTGTGATTGCTTTTAGTTTATTAAAATATGTTTTCCTTAAGTCCAAGATATATCTTTGACTCTGCTCAACTTTAGTTTCCCTCAACAATATTGTTTCTAGCTTGCTTGTTTATGCCTTTCAGTCAGCATTAACTCCTAGCTGCTGCCTTTAGAAGTTTCTGCAGTTTTCTTGTTAAGATTTTGGAAGTGGTTTGGCATTATCTGCTTTCTAGAGCTGTGTAGTAGTATGTGAGAAAGACCTTGAGAAATGGAGCAAAGAGATGCTGCCTGGGAAACAATCAGATAAAAGAGGGAAAAGCCCACATGGGGCTAAGGAGGGACTGTCCCTAACTTCTAGTTCAGCTGGTCTGTCTCCTATCTGGTGTACCTGGAAAGACAGTGATTGTCCAAAACCACACAGTTAGTTTAGTGCCTAAGGTAGGACTAAGACTCATGGTTTATGGATGGCTAGTCTGATATCTTAACCATCACATCAAACTGTTTTCACTTCCAGAATTGCATTGTCCTAATCTCAAAATTGTGCAGCAGTTCTACTTTCAGCTTGTTTTATCGTTCCCTATTGGTCAAGATTAAATTAAGAATAGCTGAACCTGGACAAAAACTACATTGAAACTGGCAATCTTGAAAAAGGAAGGCTGGCAACATATGACTTGGAAAACTAAAACAACCAGGACACAGTTCCATTTAATGCAGCTGTGCAATCAATTTGATCCACTCTACATCAAAGACCTAAGACTTCTAAAGAAGTTCCAGGAACAGGAAAGACAGAAGATGAGACTTCCATGGAGACAAAAAATCCAGTGACCACCCTAAAGAAAAAAGGATAATGGGTGAGAATTGAGAATTGGCAATCTGGAATCTGCTGAGAATTGGCAATCTGGAAACTAGACATGATATCAAGAGACATGTGTTGCCTTTCAGTTGTGAAGATTCAATTCATGATAGAGAGGCTGTCCCAACTAATAAAACCTATTGCTCATTATCACTTTTTATTTGTTTGTTTTAAATTGGGAATATGGATATTCCCATGAAGCAGAAGTTAGATCTTCTCTTCTACATTAAATCATTTTTCTAGTGCCTCTGTTCCTTTATATTTAACTTTCATAACCATAATTATGTTATAAGCAAGTATTTTCTTAAAATTGCAAGCATTGGACTCTGTAACAATTTCTAAATAAGAATCAGAGTTAGGCATAAACTATACCATATGGTCTTCACAACAAAATTATAAATATCCTGTATGCTAGCTGCAGGATAAGCATTACAACTTATAAACACTATTTTAGAATCTGAAATGAATTGGGTATTCATTTGCTTACAAACATTTGGTCTAATAGAACAGAATAACAGAGTTGGAAAGCACCTTGGAAGTCTTGTAGTCCACCTCCTTGTTTGAGCAGGATACTCTATTCTATTCCAGACAAGTGGTTGTCCAGTTTCTTCTTAAAAACCTCCAGGGATGGAGCACCCACAACTTCTGAAGGCAAGCTGTTCCACTGGTTAATTGTTCTCAGTGGTAGGAATTTTCTCTTAGTTCTAGGTTGCTTCTCTTCTTGATTAGTTTCCATCCATTGTTTCTTATTTTGCCTTTTGGTGCTTTGGAAAATAGGTTGGCTGCCTCTTCTTTGTAGCAGTCCCTTAAATATTGGGATACTACTTTCATATAACCCCATCATCACCATTAAAATAAAATCTATTCTGAAGAATAAATAGAAATATATCACTCTTAGCAGAAGGGTCAAACAAGGCAATATTTTTGCTCCATTGTTGTTTAATTACTATATCAATGCACTAATTACTATGATTTCTCTTCCATCATATCCCAAAGTAGGAGACAAACATATTTCAAACCAATAGTTTGTAATTTTATTTTCCCAAGCTCCAATTGGCCTAAGAAGGGTGTCATTAGTACTTTCTAATAATTCCAAGGCTCTGGAAATAAAATACAATGTTGGAAGATGTTAGATCTGGGAGGAGGGTTCAAGAACGGAGGCAAGACTCAGATAACAACAACAGCTCTTTATTTGTGACTTCAGATC